CTAGGAAACTTAAAGGGGTTAATCGGGACAAAGGACACGAGAGAGTTTTTATACTAGTTCGGCCCCTTACGATGAAGGTAAAAGCCTACGTCTAGTTGGGATTGGTATTGCTGAGGTTTCGATCTCCAAGAGGCTCAACTCGCCGGCTTGGTTATTGACTTGGTTGTTTCTTGCCCTAAACTGCCACCGGGTCGTCCCCTTATATACACGGGTTGACGCCTGGTGGCCTACAGAGTCCCGGCCGGCTCATAACCGTGTCCGGCTCGGTGACTTCCCTTACATGCCTTTCCTTACAAGTATTTCCTTACATACGGCGGTTTACAATATCGGGCCTTAAGCCGGCCCCAGGCCTTTGGGCCTTCTATATGCTTCATAAACTATCATCTTGAATGTATATTGGGCTTCTTATGTAACCCGCCATTAGGGCTGACCCGGCCCCTCCTGGGCGGGTCATATTGGTAGTAATATCCCCAACACTCACCCTTTTTCTTGTGGTTTTGTTTGACTGCACGCTTGGCAGGAACAGTTCCCCCCTTTCTTCTACTTCTAATATATTCACATGCAATTATCCTGTATGTTCTATAATTTTTTTGATGCAAAATAATGAAATGATTAAAATCCTATTGTTGTACAATAGAACTATAGCGGTAGTTGTTAGCACGTTAGGGCATCTCCAACGCTACCCCCCAAATCAGACACCTCATCCGTCCGCGAACACCGAGGGAGCTAGACACCCAACCATAGCTGCTTACAATTCAAACCACATCTCAACAAACCGGGCGAGTGCAAACTAGATGATTTTCATATAAGCCAGATGAAAACATTTACATTTCGGACATATTAGCTAAGCTATAATGTACTAGGCTAGGCTATTCTAACCTAGTCTATCGCCAGCCACTGAGGATCCCTATTCCCATGACATGTCTTCCCCATGTCAGACAACAAGCTCATAGGACGGTCGTGAGCAATGAAGGGATATGCTTCAGTGGAAGGGGAAGAGTAGCCTCCGCTTTCGTGAAGCACCGATAAATGTTGGTTTTTGGGGTAGGGGAAGAAGGTCACCATGGGCCCATGGCCTACGCCCCCGCGAAGCGGGCAAGCCACCGGTTATGTAGGCTGGCAAGACGGTGGCGGTGGCCTTGATGGGACCTGTCGTGGAATTGTCACGACAGATGTCCTAGTATGAGGACTTAGTCGTCAGGCCAATGCGTCTATGTGGTAGCTTGAGAGGGGTTGAGCGGAATCGAGAGACGCAACACAAGACAGGGATTTAGACAGCTTCGGGCCCTGGGAAACATCATCCGATAACAACCCTACATGCTGTTTGAGGCTAGATCTCATTATCATCACGAGGGAGTCGTCATAAACCGGCTCTCCTCTTTGTGTCTAGCCCTAAGATTGTTTCTTCTTGCTTGTCCCTCTTTGGGGAGCCCTACCCCTCCTTATATATGTTGAAGAGGTGGGTTACATGTAGAGTCCAACTCAGACTTAAGACTTAACTATTCTAACTTATCTTCATGGGCTTCTTAACATCTTGGGCTTCATAACATCTCAGGCTTCATAACTCCTGGCAACCCAGTTATCACTGTTTGCCGGTTTAAGATGGTCTGCCGGTTTAAGATGGTCTGCAAGTTTAAGATCTGACTTAACTCCTGCCGGTTCACCACCTGCCTTAACACTTTGCCGGTTTACCACCTGTCGGTTTACCGTCCGTCATAGCCATCTGTCTTAACTGTCTGCCGGTTTACAACTTCGGCCGGGTCATACTGCGGGGTATATCTCCGACATTAGCCCCCAGTTTAATTTGGATTTATCCATGTTAAACTGATCCTGAGCATCTTTGAATCCTTGTCATTTCCTTCTAGAAAATCCGGGTCAATAGGCCAGCTTCATAATCAATTTGCTGACATTGATTTGTCACAGAGAAATATTTGTGAAAAATAACTTCTTTGACTCAGCTCCCAATACTTAACAAAAATATTGGTGTTTGAAATACTCATCTGATCTTCAGCCGGTTTAAGAATGTAGAACTTTGCCGGTTTAAGAATGTAGAACTTTTGCCAGTTTAAGACTTAAACTTGCCGGTTTATCATTGCCAGTTTACAAATATTGATGGCACCGGATCATAATTGTAGTTAACATCCAGCTTGAAAATATACCTCTTATATGCCCATCACTTGTAGCCCCCAAGTTTTAAGAAGGTAGCATAGCAACAGCTTAAGACTTGCTTCAAATACGAATGTCACAAGCTTGAAGAAATCCCGGTTGTTCATCTCAATCACCAGTCAGAACTGAGTATTCCATATATGTAGCCCCCAAGTGCCGGGTTGTCATGCTTGCAGCAACCTGGGACTTGAAATTGCCTTATGCTTATAAAAACTTCAACCAGTATAGCCCCCAAGGGCCGGGTCATTATGCAATAATGAGCAAGGACTTTATAGATATGATCATGTAGACTTGAACAGCAACGTGTAGCCCCCAAGGGCCGGCTCAGTAAGATAATATTGAGCTGGGACTTTATATATACCTCACTGAGAATAACAGTATACGATGTAACCCCTATCATGGGGCTTGAACCCATATCCACAAGGTTGAGAGCTTTGTGCTTTACCAACTGAGCAGTGGATCCTTCAATAATAGATGAAAATTTGTGTACCTTGAATTGTTTGACAGGAGCAATTGGTAGCCCCCAAGGGCCGTCTCATTGCGATGAGTCGGGTCTTCAATAAGTGAGCAAACAATGACTTTGTATTAGCCCCCAAGTGTCATGGTGCATGCTTGCAGCGACATGAGACTTGTGTATTTGATGTAATCTTAAGTTGAATAATGTAGCCCCCAAGTGCCGGGTCGTAAGCCTGCAGCGACTCGGGACTATTCCTTCAATTGTAGAATAAATCATATCCGTTGATAATATGATAGCCATTGCGCTAAAGCGACTTTGAAAACCTTAATCATAATACTGGTTATTGATAACCATAATTAAAATACAGCCGTGTTGGCTATTAAAGATTTTGGATAATATAACCTGGTTTAAAAAACCGGTTCCTGCCATATAAGCCGGTATATACATGCTATGATGATGTAATGATGATGCAACGTATGATGCAATATATGATGATGTATATGTATGATCAAGAGGGTTTAAGCTATGGTTCGGATACGACCAGAGCCCCATGTAGTCATAATTATGGCATTGCGCCCATCAAGAGGTGTAGCTATGGTTCGAATACGACCAAGCCCCCAAGTGATTTCCCTGGTGCCCTTATGCTGATCAAGAGATGTAACTATGGTTCGAACCCATAGCCCCCAAGTGATTTTCCTAGTGGCCTTATGCCTATCAAGAGGTGTAGCTATGGTTCGGATACGACCAAGCCCCCAAGTGATTTCCCTGATGCCCTTATGCTGATCAAGAGGGTATAAGCTGTGGTTCGAATACGACCAGAGCCCCCAAATGATTTCCCTGGTGGCTTTAAGCCTATCAAGAGGTGTAACTATGGTTCGAACATAGTCCCCAAGTGATATTGTGAGCTGTGCTCAAGGGACACCCATGTTTGAGCTGTGATGTGCAGCAGACTCTCTTTGGCCCCGTATGATAATATTTGGCTTGATAGCTGGAGTACCGAAGTAACCAGAGCTGTGCTCTTATGATAATATTGGCTTGATAGCCAGATCAAGAGGTGTAGCTATGGTTAGAATACGACCAAGCCCCCAAATGATACTATGAGATGTGCTCAAGGGGCACCTATGTTTGAGTTGTGATGTGTAACAAACTCTCTTTGGTCCCCTTAATTTCTTCTGAGAACTCGAACTTGCGAGAGATTATTCTTTTGAACCAGAAATTCTTAAACCGGATATTGAGAGCTTCAAAACTCTGTGGGAGACAGCTTTCCCTTGAGCCGGATTTTTAAACCGGAATCCTTCTTCTTAAGCCGGAAATTTTCTGACGGCCTTTAGATTTTCACCAATATGGCGATTTAGGGTCCTGCATTAGATAACTTTGCAAGCCGGAGTAATTGCTCTTTTAAAGAAAGCAATACATAATATAAAAATATACTGGATGAATTTCACTTGATACGCCAGGCCAGTAATTATCCACCGCGGAGTTCATGATCACCATGGTGAAGCGGAAATAAATCATGGGTGAATCCGCCGTCGGAGCAGACAGATGAGTCAGCCGCGATATTATAGGCCGGTGCGGACGGGCTAGTTGTCCTCCGCATCGTAAACCGGCACGAACGGGCAAGTTAATCGCGGGCGCGGTCCCGGCAAGCTGATGTAAACCGGGCCACAGGGACGGCGACTTGCACACATTCATTCACCGGGTGGTATGACACGGACGAAACGCCGGTGCTGAATGTTGCTAGCGCGTGCTCCGTGCCCGTAATATAACGCCTCATTTGTAATAAACAATTGTCCTGCGTCAAAAAATATCACATGTCAAAGTAATTGTTCACACAAAAATTAATATGTGCTATGAAAACAAACCGGACGGATATCACCTGATGTTTTTTGTTCGGACAATGGATAATCCGTTCGTCGCGACAGAGGCGGTTTAAGCAGGTCGGCGACTCAATATGGTCCCAGCGGTTCGAGCAGAAACCCTCCGAGTTATTCTCCGGTTCTTTAAACACCCGGCACGGGCGATGCAGATGTATACGTCGCTTCGGACGCCGGCGCACGAGGGCCGGATCATACCTTGGCCATGAGTCAATTGACCTGATTGTTTTGTTCGGCGAGTCCATAGAGCTTTTTCTTATCTCTGCTTCGGGCACAAATGTCTTGACGTGCAATATTACATGTATATTTGCCCCGTTCATCAATTGGCATTAGCCTTACTAGTACTTTGCATTGGCTGGGATTTTCTTGTTAGGAAGATTGACTCAGCCTTAAGACCGTCGGCTCACGTGTGAACTCCTCAGCAGATCTCTCAAATTTGACAGCAACAACAGCAACACCACTCAGACCGTCTGTTCCCGATCAGCAGCTGATCCAATCCTTTCCTACTGAATCATATCTTCAAAATCAGTTTCTTCAGTCGCCACGGCTGCATAATCAACTGCTTGCTCTCTGCTAACAGCAGCTATAGATCTTATGGTCAGTATTGCAGACTGTACACATTGCCATGTCATTAAATCTATATTAACTTCAGAAGATAGCTGCCGCGGCTGACAAAATCAACAGTACATGAAGTAATTCCTTGGTTTCATATGCAGTTGGCTGATGTACGTGCACATGTTGCTGAACCTGAAGAAAATACACTGAAGCCCGACAACGGAGGCAACTTGAGGCCGGGGCAGCCTGTCGGTGACTCTCAAACCGGTGAAGGCGCGCGGGGACGGCATCAACTCGCAGCTGTGGTGAACCGGCGCGCGGGGAGCAGCAGTAGCGAGTTAACAAGGCGGGTTAACAATGCGGCGCGGCAGGCGGCTCAAAGCCGGTCGGCGCGGCGGTTTACCGTGGCGACAACGGTTTGAAGAAGTGTGGCCGGCAGTAGAAAACCCCAGCGCGTCTTGCTTGCTCCGTCAGTGAGGCGGAGGAGACTCAACGGCGGCTCAATCGTAACGGCGGCGGTGTCCAAAATCAGTAGGCCGGCTCTGTGCACCCGCGGATACAGCAAGGGCGGTTTAAAGCATGGCGATGGGGGCGGTGGCTCTGTAGTTTTAGGCCGGTTCACCAGCAGAGGCGGAGTCGCGGTCACAACATTGAGGCCCGGCGGCGGTTTGAGCAGGCAAAACACTGCAGCAGTTTGGAGGAGGCGAGGCCCAACTGCAGCTTGGAAGAGCGGTGGCAGGCGAGGCGCAGGCACACGGCTGTGAAAGCCGCCGAAGGCGGCCGAGGTAGGAGGGCCGGTCCAAGTCGGCGGATTGGATTGCCACTGATGGCGGGTCAAGTGGTCGGCGACTTGCGCAAAGCAAGTCAAGGCCTGGCGGCGGCTACGGCCAAGTAGGTTCAAGTCAACATCTTGACGAGGCGTAAAATGGCAGCCCTCGGCGGTGCCGGCTCCAGTAAGTGCTAGTGTCTGCTCTCGGCCGGCATGAATGGACGCTGATGCTCCGGTGGAAAAGAGTGCGAGCACGTGAGAGGATTTTTGGTGGGCCAAGATTGTCGGACTCGTGCGTGTTAATGGTCCGGACTCCCGCGAGGCCTCACCCCCATTTGTGGGGAAAAGGATGTCTGAATCGGTCACAAACCGGTAAAGACTCGCGTTGGATGATAAAACACATCTGAACCGCGTGGTCTAGATGGACAGTTTAAGAGTCCACGTTGAAGATGCCTTTATATGGCTTCCCACGAATTCCAAAGATTTGAAAAATCGCATCGTCAATCGGCCAAGCCAGTAAAAGATAGGGGACCGTAGCAGCAGAAATTGACCCTAGTAAAGCATTTGACATACCCAGTAACATATTAATGTGTATATTTGAGAGCACAAACAATTTATCACGAAAAAAACAGGAATCACAGTTTCCACAAGCAGCAGGAGGAGATGATCCTTGCAACATGAACCCAAGCTACCCTTATTCCCATCAAGTGGCTACTCCGGGCAATGTAAGTAAGCAGCGCCTAGATGAGCAGCACGCCCTCTCCTTACCAAGGAGGAGGATGAGAGCGGAGGTGCCCACCGGCGTTGGTGGATCTTCAGAGCGGGAGGGGACGGCGCAGACGAGGATTACCTAGTATGGTTTCCCGGTTGGTTTTAGGGGCCGGGGGAGGAAGCCGCCATTGGAGGCCGGACGGAGAGGCTCACCGGGGTTGGAGGAAGAGATCGATGCGATGCGTTCGAGGTTACGTATTCCATGTGGGGGTCATAGTTTTGCATGTGGCTGCATGCATCGATTGATACAGAGGCCAGGGGTTTTCCTCCTTTTCAAAAAAAAATGTGAGGGTCATAGAATATGTGTCAGTGCTCGACTCACGGGTGTCATGAAAATGCGTTTTGTGGTGTTTTCTGTTCAGAGTAAAGCGCCGCTGTACTGCAGGTTCCAACTTGGCGTGTAAATTTGCTGTCAAAAAAGAAATGTCATCAATTTCGCTCTATTAGTGACCTCTTGCACAATCCCATTAATAAGTTGTTCATTGGTCAATTTTTGGTCATGGATAAGCATTCCAAGGCAAGTAAAAGGAAAGCTCCTCAATTTGCAGTTAAGCATGTTAACTGCCCAAATGCCACTCCTCTAAATCACAGACCACAATCATAACTTCACTATTTTCTTTTGAGATTATCATAACTTCACTCTTATGATAGTTGATATGCATTCCTGACACTGCCTCAAAGTAGTACAGCAAGAATTTCAAATGTACTAGAATGTTTGATCAGATGGCTCCACCATGGTAACAGTATCAATAAATTAGGCACCACACATATAGTAAACGCACCTTGCTCTGCGTTTTCTAAAATCAGGGCTAAAGCCTTAACTGCCAGATTGAAAAGCAGGGCAGCTGCTTCCTCATTTGTGATTCATTTCAGAAACTTTGAAAGGATGGATCATGCACGTTGTTAGCGGTTGGGCATATATATAATCCCATAATTTTGGTCAACCAAATTTCACCAAATGCCGAGTCTGTAATGTTAGGGTGTGGAAGATGTTCTTTTGTAAACTCCCGTTTCAGCTCCCACACGTACCCTGATGACTTCTGGGATCCAGTAAATATGGTCTGGGTGTATGGCCAATTAAGAGAGAAATGATCATCAATCGAATATCCAGAGAAGAATGTGAGCTTAAGACTTTGACAATGTAGCATCCAATTTGTCTGCAATCATACCAATCCATGCCTGCAAGGAAGATCACTGGATGATGAGTAATTGTCTGGCAAGTCTAGTGTTCAATGTGTGGTGCTCTTTAGCTTGTAAGTTATAGACTGGAGCTACATATTTCAGGAAAAATTATTAATTCAAGTATTCAACATAAAACATACTAACAAGCTCATTTTGAACGAAACAGTATACCTGATCAAGATTGGTGAAGCCCCTTATAGTGTCACCACCAATAACTGCAATTCCTTTGTCACCAATTGGCTGCAATATTAGAGCCTGTAGACCAGAAAAGTTGTAAAATGCTGTGCATTCGTATTTTTAGATAAACAAATGATTTGCATTTTGCATACAAGCATCTGTAAACATGACGCGGAGTTAATTTTTCTGCTATCCAAAACAAAAGGGAGCTTCAGGTCATCTTCTGCTTAAATGATACTGTGAGATGTAACCAAGTTAAATCGTCTGAATGCATCCTAACATCGAATAATTTATCCAAAATTAAACGAATTTGCACCTGTGTGTTAGCTGGTAGAAATGGCAGCTCAGTCCTTCCAGGATATAAAGCAAGATTTGCTAGATACGATTCTGCAAGAAAACCACGATGAAATTTCTGAAACCAACATAAAAACTTCTAAATAACAAATGGCACTCACGCTTCTTGGATTCCATGGCACTCTTGTAAAGGGAGCCTTGGATGAACCTCTGTGCATCCACAGTAACTGCACTACCATCTTGTAGAGAGGCTGCAGCAACCCCAATTTGAAGAATGCAATTACCTCCATACACAACAACCAATGATTTGCAACAAGTTGCAGCCGTCAGGGAATCCCATGTCCTATTTATAAGAGAATAAGTAGCATCTAGCTTCACAACATGAATTCCTTCATATCAAATAAGTACTCAACACAGAACTTGGTGAGATTGTTTAGTTCAGGTTCTGATGAAGTCAGCTTCACAACAGAAAATCTAGTTTGTTTCTTGTGTAAAATGAAAACAGATTTTTTTTAGTCAAAGTAAAATAAAACCATAAACCGAGCATGAGTAGAATAGTTACCAAAGGAGTTCATGAAGAGCAGAACTTGATACATCCGCATCTACTCGCTTACAATTGACACCTCGAGGAACGACCTGGCATAATTTAACATGGAGAAATCACAATACAAATTAAGTCCAGGAATCCCAATATGAGACAGATCAAGCTATAAGATAGTACATACTCCCTCCGTCCCCAAACAAGTGTCTATCTTAGTACAACCGTGTACTAAAGTTAGTATAAAGTTGAGAAGTTAGTACAAAGTTGAGACACTTATTTTGGGACGGAGGGAGTAATTCTCACCTGAGAAATGGTTTTCGGGCGGATTGACAGCCAAACAAGGCCGGCAAGAATATCAGTTACAGAGAGCGCCAAGGTGAGTATGTCCGCCCTCGACTGCGAACTGTTTGGAGAACAAAGAAAGACCAAATGAGCAATCTTGGGGATCTACAAACACCGAGGACAGAACGGAACTGCGGGCAGAAAGAAGAGAGCAATTTGGTAGTGCAGGGAGACCTGGAGGCGTCGGAGACGGCGGCGATGCCGGAAACGGCACGGTTGAGGAGGACGGCGAGGAGCGACGCGCCGCCGACGAGGATGGGGAGGGCGCGGACGAGCGTGTCGTTGCTCCGGACCCAGTCCCCCACCCACTCCTGCCGCTGCCGCATTGCGCTGCTGCATATCCTGTCCCCTCGCTGCGGATAAGAAGCGAAGAGTTTACGCAGCGGGGGAGAAGGGGAGCAAGGAGAGGTGAAGGGAGGGCGGCACCCACGCTTGGCGGAGGAGGCTGCGGCGGGAAGAATGTTATGGAGGGAAGCCGGCGGCGGCGGCGGCGGCGCTGGGAGGAGACCGGCCGGGGCGTCGATGGGAGCGGAGCGAAGGTACGGCTTCTCAGCAGGCTCGTCTCCATGTGGCTCTGCTCAATCAGAATCCAGTGGAGTTTGCTCCCGAATGTTTTTTGGTACTCCACCTCAAAGAAAAAAAACTGACAACAAATATTAGTACATGTGAACGTTCTAATTAGTTTACCAATGGCACATAGAAATAGATCAAAATGGCCTAATACGGTCTTACAGGCATGCTAAAATTCTATGTACTAGACAATTTGCATGCTTCTGAATATGTAACTGGATTATATTCAGATTGTAGCTTAGAGGTCCAATATGTTCAGATATTTCAAACAGTGCTTGTCTGACATGGTAACGATGCATCATTCATCTTTGTTACTGAAATGGGGAATGGAGAGGGTGGACTGAGGACCGTACCTGCCCCCGGCCTCCGGACAAATCGGGGCGGCTGACGGCCTGAGCCTACTGGGCGTCTGGGCACGACGGCCTGCTGCAGACTGCCGACTGGCGCTGGCGATAGGGCCCGGCGACGGCGACGCGGCGAAGGCGCGAGGCAAGCGGCCGGCGGCAAATCGGAACGAACGCCTAGAGGAGCAGAGGGGAATTGGTTCGGGGACGGAAGAGCGAGACGGGAGAGGCTCCTGTGCGTGAGTAGGCCGCCGGTCCGTGGCTGGACGTGGAAACTGGAAAGGCCGCGGCCGGTCGTTCCACTGGGTGTTGGCTTTGATGGAACGAGGTCATTCTGAATACCCGTAACAAGTTTTGGTAGAAATATCGTTTTGTTTTGGGCTATAGAAAAGAAAACAAATTTCTGACACTATATAAGAGAAAAGGTGTGCCATTTTTTGTCAGAAATTTCTCTTTTTGTATTTCCCAAAATACAAAGTATTTCTTTTTCAGATTTTTACGAATGTGTGTATGTATTCATGTATTTGATATAAGATTTTTTTTAAGCAACGAAACTGTGTTTTTTAAAATTTTCAAATACCGGGAGCCCTGGAGCCCGGTAGTTGCAGGCACTTTTCGTCGTTTCTGTCCATCTCCTGAAGCGGGTGTAGTAATTGCGACGTCACTAGCTTTGACTTGAACTTGATAAAGATTTCCCTGTCTTTTCTCTTTCGGATGAGATCTCACAAATTTTAGAATAGACCACATCCCTTTTTTTTCAGTTGTATTTGACCCAATATTTTCTTTAGACTTGCACAAGTTCCCTGCTTTTTTTTTTTTGCGGGTGAAGTTCCCTGCTCATTTCTTTTAAACTGCAGAGTTATATTGCCTGCCATTCAGCTGTTTAGTTCTTGCAGCATTCAACAATCTGTTATTCACTTGTTTAATTCTTGGGAACAGTTCAACATTTTGCTATTCTATTCTGTTTAGGTCTTGGCAACAGTTCTATTAAGTTTTGTTCAACTCTACACGTTCATAACTTGCCTGTTCTGCACATCCCTGCACATGCACAAATTCTCTGTTCATTTCTGGACATGCACAACTTTACTAGTAGAACACTCATTCAGGCAAGTAACTTGAACATTTGCCGTTCAAATGTGCTTGCAAGTACCAACTACTTCCTTCGTTCCGAATTACTTGTCGCATGTATGAATCTATCTAGATGTATTTTAGTTCTAGATACATCTATTTCTGCGACGAGTAATTTGGAACGGAGGGAGTAGAACTCTTATTCGGTTATTCACACTCAGTATTTTGTAACAATTCCAGTTTAACTTCATTTACACTTTCCACCCCCAGTTCAATTCAGTGATAACGCAAGAACACTCATACGCAAAAGAACACCCAATTCCGTTCAACTCTGCACATGCACAAGAACACTCACTGAACACGTATTCAGTCATGACACTCAATCAAGCACTGGACTATTTTGCCATTTAAACAGTTAAGTTATGTACAAGTAGCAACCGAAATTCTCATTCAGTCATAACAATCGATCACAACAACATTATTGAGTGATTTCAAAAAAAAGAATTGCCATACAAAATTCAGTTAATATCAGCACTCCCTGCACTTTACCGGATTTGGACACTGCTTGCTCTCAGCGTCTCGTCTGCCGACGGTGGTAGCGCGGTGAAAGTCCTCTCCCTTCAAGGATGCGTGTGTGGTGAGGTGATAAAAAAAGTGGGCCCCAGCAAATTTAGTGGGATGCTGCGGAGTAGAGAGTCAAAGAGCAAGGCGTGGCAAACTCTCTCAGCCAACGAGCTCATCTCCAAGCCTCAGCCATGGCGACGGAGCGGCCGTCAACGCCGCACCTCCTCGTCGTCCCCTTCCCGGCGCAGGGCCACGCTCTGCCGCTGCTCGACCTGGCCGCGCTGCTCGCGTCCCGCGGCCTCCGCCTCACCGTAGTCACCACGCCCGCCAACGCGCCGCTCCTCTCCCCTCTCCTCGCCACCCACCCCGGCTCCGTCCAGCCCCTCGTGCTCCCCTTCCCCGCGCACCCCTCCCTCCCGCCGGGGCTCGAGAACACCAGGAGCTGCCCGCCCTCCTACTTCCCCGTCTTCATCCACGCGCTCGCCGCGCTCCGCCAGCCCGTCCTCGCGTGGGCCAGGTCGCACCCTCACCCCGTCGCCGCCGTCGTGTCCGACTTCTTCTGCGCGTGGACGCAGCCCCTCGCGGCGGAGCTCGGCGTGCCCCGGATCGTCTTCTCGCCCTCGGGCGTCCTCGGCACCGCCGTCCCGCACTCGCTGTTCCGTCGGCTGGTCAAGCGGCCGTCGGATGCCGATGACGGGTTCGGCGTCTCGTTCCCGGCGATTCCCGGCGAGCCGGCGTTTCAGTGGAGGGAGATCTCCGGGATGTACAGGGGCTACATGGAAGGCCAGGTGGGGGAGCAGGTCGGCGAGGCCGTGAGGCAGAACTTCCTCTGGAACCTGGAGAGCTGGGGGTTTGTGTCGAACACCTTCCGTGCGCTCGAGGGGAGGTACCTGGACTCGCCGCTCGAGGACCTGGGGTACAAGCGCGTGTGGGCGGTGGGTCCGCTCGCGCCGGAGACGAGCAGCTCCGGAGATCGTGGCGGCGATGCGGCTCTTGTCGCCGGCGGTCTCGGGGCGTGGCTGGACGGCTTCCCGCAGGGCTCGGTCGTGTACGTGTGCTTCGGCAGCCAGGCCGTGCTGACCCCGGCCGTGGCGACGGCCCTAGCCGAGGCGCTGGAGCGCAGCGCCGTCCCGTTCCTGTGGGCCGCGGGCGACGGCGCGGTGCTCCCAGAAGGGTTCGAGGCGCGCGCGGAGGCGGCGAGGTGCCGGATGGTGGTGCGCGGGTGGGCGCCGCAGGTGGCCATCCTGCGGCACGCGGCAGTGGGGTGGTTCATGACGCACTGCGGCTGGAACTCGGTGCTGGAGGCGGCGGCAGCGGGCGTGCCCATGCTGGCGTGGCCGATGACGGCGGATCAGTTCGTGAACGCGCGGCTGCTCGAGGACGAGGCGCGCGTCGCGGTGCGCGCGTGCGCGGGCGGGATCGGCGTGGCCCCGGACTCCGGCGAGCTCGCGGCCGTGCTGGCCGGCGCTGTCGGGGAGGGAGGGAGCGCCGCGCGGGCGCGCGCCAAGGAGCTCGCGGCGGAAGCGGCCAGCGCGACCAAGGAAGGCGGGAGCTCGCGCGAGGATCTGGAGCGGCTGCTGCTAGAGATGCAGAAGCTTTGAGCCTTTGAACGTGGTGCGAAAGATTTTGGATAACATTCACGGAGTTGTTTCTGCTATACACTCGGTATACAGGGCTCAATTTCCTAGATTTTGAGGCACACTTTTTTCCTGCAGCCATGCCTACTCACTCCGTTTCTAAATATAAGTCTTTAGAGATTCCACTGTCATTGAGGGCATGTACCCCCATAGTGATGGCGAGAAGTTGGCCGGCGAAGCGACGCTCTGCTGGCTCCCTCACACGGCTTGTGGGGAGTGCCCGGGCGGAAGGTTCTTCATCCCTGCGCGAGACGCCTATCTCTGCTCCGTCGCCGCCGCGTCCCTGGCCTTCTTCATGAAGAGCCAGTTTCGCCGGTCGGCGGTGACGATAAACGTCGGCCTTCCACTCAGCGTTCGACATGTCGGGGGGCCTTGCCATCGGCTTCCTCTGCTTTGGCTGGACGGTGCTATCAGTGGCTAGGCGAGGGCTGCATATTTCTTCGGTGGCATGGCAGGCAGATCTGGGGAAGAATGGAG